CAAAAAAAAAGCTGAAGAGGAATATAGGAGGGACAAAATCTGATCCATAGGGCATTGTTGTACCCCCTGTTCAAGTCTCTTTTAGCTGTTTATCTGAGAATCCCCCAAAAAGTGCAAAGCTGTAGAACAGCTGAAAGCGACTTTTCCTTGTGCATTTTGAGTGTTTTCTCTACAGCAATAGCTGAGATGTATTATTCAGCTTTACTTATGGCCTTAATTGGGTTGGGATGTGGCTCTTTTGACAGATGTACGGCCCCATTAAAATAAAAAGCGAACTGCAAAGACTGATGCGAAGTGAAGCTTGGTGATTAAGAACTGGATAGGGTTTGGATTATTTCTCAAAGGCGTGCTGAGATTTGACTCAATTTAATTAAACAACATTGCAACCCACACTGCTATTTCTTTCACCTCAGTGTAACTGTGTTTTCTTCTCTTCTTCTCCGCCGCCCACCTCTGTTTCCTCTAACTGGTCATGGAGCTCAGCAATCCCTTCAATTCATCATGATGATGTACGATCCCATTAATTCTCTTTGAAAGCTGAGTGCAAGAAGCTGCAGAGTTGGCACTGAGTCGGCCTGTATGGCTGATTTCTGTGTTATCCTCCCCACCCATATCTTTTGGTTGTATTCTGCTTTGGAGGAAGGGTCTTAACGGATATACACTAAAAGCATCGTGCTGTGAGACGTAGAAACAATGGCTTTCATTCTCAAGATGCACAGCTTTTCCTTTAAGCTTCTGAATAATTTTTCAACAAAAACATGTCTTCACCTTTATGGTTTCTCTTCCTTCTCCTCCCATGCACAAAGCATATTTTTCCTAAACATTTCTATTCCATTGCAGTAAATAGATGTTTCTATTTTGGGGGAGGAATTGAGAAGTAATTTGATCTAGATAATAGCTAATGGGGAATGAATTTAGTGTCCAGTTTGCTGTATTAATGATTGAAAAGGAGAGAAGCATGTATATACATTAAATAGACCTTTGGGGGAAGAAAAGGCTCTAATGTGCATGCTCATGAGTGTAAAAAAGTGGAAGTAGTCAGCTTTGAAGAATATCCTCCTCTTAAGCTAAATTGCAGAGTAAGAAATGCATTGTAAGTGCTGCTCGTGAGGATGGTAGTTATTTGATCAATCGTCCTTGAGGTTGAAATTGCTTTGGAGTAACATTTCACTTAGACATTCCCTCGGCAGATGGTTGTGAAGCCTTCCGAGGGGAAGGAGTTTCTGTGGCCTCAGCTCCGAAGGCCACAGAGAAAATGTACTGCTGGGGAGGCCAATGCAGGGAGGTCACAGCTTATTGATATAGTACAAGGGGGAGAATGTGGGTCTAGGCCAGAATCTCAACTCTGTCATCTTGCAGAGATAACAGTGCAGCAGATACTGCGCCATTTCACATTGGGAAGTCTGCGTGACAGGAAAGAATCAATGTTTGACCATCTGAGGCACCCATATGTTTTGTTCAACGCCGACTTTTTTTCCCTCAAATTTTACAACATCATTTATCATCAGTCAATATCAATATCTCAGCAAATTCAGTAGTTGTAGTTTGTGCAGAGTAAAAGCTGTTTGTTTCCTCATGTCTCAGGGTCAGCACTCTGATAGGTCACATTCTGCTCTCTGTTCTTGTATTCCTTTGTTGAAAGAAAGGCTATGTCATCTTGATTAATGTTTTATTCTTTTCTTTGACCAATCCAAGCAGTAGTTGATCACAATCATGTAGTTCTCAGAGCTTGCTGGCTGGGGTTAGTAACTTTGCGGAAAGGTCAGCTGGGAGGTGGGATCATAGAATCAGACTGAAATACCCAGCTTTATGGAAATAGAGCTCAACATCTTTGACGTGTGCTGTCAATAGGGAACGTAATAGGTTGGAGAGGTTAAGTTTGTGTTTGAACCAGCACCTAACTAACGCATTGGCAGGATGATGAATCACTTCAGTCCTGGTGTTGAAATGGAAGGTTCATTAAGTGTAGCCGTGGATGTTAATGGATAGTGTTAAACGTGTGCTTCTCCGAACACTGAACGCTAGTTGTATTCGGTGTGTGTTCCAAGCAATATTCAAGAATTGCTAAAATTTGGAATAATATGAGTCTCTCGATCTTCTCATTGTATGACAACCAAGTTATGAGTCAACCAAGTTCTGAATCACCATTGTGCCTTTACTGCTACATGGTGCTTCTAAACTGGTGGCTTCTAGAAAAAAGTCAAACGAGAATTTTAGAAAAGGAGATGTGCTTGCGTGATTTTAACAAGTGCTGTAGTATATTCATTAGCAATTGATTTGAACTTTTGTCTGATAATTTGAAAACAGACATTGCTTCTGGAACTTGCGAGTTGTTTTCATTCTTTTGCCAGCACAAATAGTGGATAGGGATGTACTGGAAAAGATCATTAGGGGCCATCTGGAAGGTCCCAAACTAAAATAAAATCCTATGTTACTCTATCGCTCGTGCCCTTCAATAGATTTTTTTCTTCAAATAACCAGCCAATTCTCTTTGCTGACCTAACTTTACTACTCCCTCCCTGGCTAATCTATTCCACACATTTACCACTCTGTGTAAAGTCGTTGAATCTGAAGTGTGTTCATTTATCCTCTTCCGAAGTTTGACATAGTGTCAGACATTTTGTGATGTTTCAAGGTGTAGAAACTTCTTGTGGGATGTTATGCACATCCTACCCTTCCTGTGTATTTTCCTTTCATGTGTTCTGATAGTGACTTTGGCGTGTTGCGAAGCTCATGCATTTAGTTCTGTGATTTCCATTTCCTGAAATGACATAAGTGTCATCAGAGTAGAGTAATTCTGATTTACTTGTGACTGGGTTTAATGTTTCATTGCTTTGCATGCACTCCCTGGTCTTCTCATCATTGTTTTACTGAGAAATTATCAGCGTTTACTTTCAGGTCTGTTAAGAGCTTTTGCGGCATTGGCTGACAGAGTTATTGATTCTAGCGATGCGAAAGAACTCAATAAATGTATTCAGATGAAATGATAGGATTGCTGAAGCATCCTGGTTGAATAATTACATCTCTTCTGGTGTGCTGCCCTCTTTCATTATTGAGCTCAGGACTTACTGCCAGCTCACTCCCCTATAAGATTACCAGAAGTGACTTGTTAAACACAAGCATGCTGGTTTTACACAACAGAAGTAAAACAAAAAAGAATGAAATGAACAACAACAACTTACATTTATATAGTGTCCTTTGCCCTGGACGGTGTCTCGAAATGAATCCTGAACAGTGATAATAATAATCCTAGCAGTGAATATAGTGCCTTTCACATTGGGAGTGTGTCTCAAAACTCTTTACAGGATACGCTGTAAAGTGTACTGACTCTACCCTGGCTCGGTGCCAAGCAATTCAGTGCTCTGAAACGCTAACCTGTGTGAAGGGCATTATATAAATGCAAGTCGTTGGTGCTGTTTGATTCTTCGGAATGCTTTTCTTGTTTCAATAGAGGTAGAAATGATGTAACTCTGTTCCCATATTCGGGCTGTTATTCCACTGATAGTTTCTGTCTGCATTTGATTTTACTTCCAATGTATTGGTCATTTTCAGTCTACGACTGTTTGTGGGACATTGCTGTGCGCAATTGGCTGCCGCGTTCGTCCACAAATATACAGTCAATTCACTTTACAGTGTGTTCTGTGAAGCGCCTTGGGACGTCCTCCCGGCGTGAAAAGCGCTATATCAAATGCAAGGATTATTATTATTATTATTATGTAACTTTTCCAACCGTGATATTAATGCGCTATGTTTTATAAAGGGAAAAATAGGTATGCCAGCGTTTTTATAATTAGTCTGGAAACAGTTCAAATCATTTAGCAGAATATACAGAGGTGTCGCAGTTAGCCCTGGGAGGGGAGAGGACAGACTCGTGACTGAAACTTATGATAATATTTTTTGTGTGTGCTCTGGTGAAGTACTTCCTTAATCGTCGCGTTTTGTTTACTGAAACTTAGTGCTATTTGCTCTAATTGTTATGCCAGCTCATTAATTATTGGACAAAGTTGAGGAGTTCTTGCCCGTTGTCAGGTGATTTACAGTTCCAGCTGTTTCCTCTTCATCTGATTTAATTTGAAGCCTCAACTCAACGGGGGGCTAGCAGTCCCCACCTAGCTGTGTTCCACAGGAATGCAATTTCCATCCCTATTCTTAGTCTTCCCCCCCCCGCACAATACTTCACCATAAAGGTAATTTTCCACCAGGGATCAGCTTCCCCTCCAGCAAGGTGAAAATGGTTCAATGTTTGGATGGAAATATAATGCACGTGTTTGTCAAAAAAGATACGGCTGTTTGGTCCAACTATGACCTAGAGAACAGTAAACCTTAATGGATATCATCCGTGGCATAGTTTTGTTATTGAAGACAGTTCCATTGAAACCCATGTGAAGAGTATGTGAGAACAAAAACTTGTGGGGGAATATTTTTATTTTTTTCAATCTATTTTGAATAAGGCTTACGTTAAGACCAACCAATAGTTTCATTCAATAATAGAAGTTCATTTTGTGAGTGAAGAGGCTAGAACTAGGCTGAGTAAATGCAAGTGTGAAATTGAGTCTCTGTTTAATTGCACAAATATGTTTATCTCAGGCCGTACTTCCAAGTTGCTTCCCCAATTCATTGAAATTAATCTTAGAATTTAGATTTTCTGTGAAATTAAAGTTAAAAACAATCTGACTGTAAAATTCTTTGTTTTGAAAATTATTGTGTATGTTACTGAAGAACAAAATGCACTCTGATGCTCCCCTTCACTTCGAGCTTTTATTTTTAGCTTCTTTTGTCCTATGATGTCTGGTGGTACTGCCAAGGCCACACTCAACTGATGATGTATCTTGGCGGGTTCTTTCCCATGGTGATAGATGTTCAATGAAATGAGTAGGCACATTAAAAGTGCATACTTTGCCAACAAGAGCTGGGGATTATCTTGTTTTGTAGTTCAACAGAAATGGACAGGATAGTATTGAAAATATACATATTTTAAAACATTTTTTCTCTCTAAATAGAGGGCGTTTGTGAAATATGGCTGACCAGTGAAGATACAGGAGCCTATGGAAGGGACCTAGGGACAGACCTGCCAACATTGCTGTGGAAACTGTTGGAGGTGATTCCTGAGGGAGCGATGTTGCGGCTTGGGATGACCAATCCTCCGTATATCTTGGAACATCTGGAGGTAAGGGAAAGGAGCCACTGATGTTTTTAAGATCGCCTTTGACCTGGCTAGCAACAAAACAGATACATTGTTTTGTCAGCACAAGGAAATGGTGTGCACCTTGTTGTGGCTTGGGTTGAGTGAGCCAGCCTATCAATGGTGGAGCATATTGTTTTGTACACCAACAAAATTACATTTATGTAGCGCCTTTCACATTGGGAAGACGTCCCAAGGCGCTGGACAATCAGTGTTTCAGACCCGAGCTGTGGGTTGGGATTGGGGAGGGTGGGGGGCAGGGGCGCAAGGAGGGTGAAGAGGAGGATGTTGAGATGGGTCTTGAAGGAGGCAAGGGAGTGGGGGTGGCGAGATGGAGGAACTGCGGGTTGGAGTTCCAGAGGGCGGGGGCAGAGTGGCTGAAGGCCCGCCTGCTAATGGTGAGGCGAGCGAGGCGGGGGACGTGAAGCAGGCTGGAGCCCGCTGAGCAGAGGGAGCGGGCAGGTTGATAGAGGGTTAGGAGGCCGCAGAGGCAATGGGAGCAAGGCTATGGAGGGCTTTGAAGGTGAGGACCAGGATCTTGAACTGTGTCCTCTATGTGATAGGAAGCCCATGGAGATGGGCAAGGATGGGGGTGATAGGGTCACGAAGCCTGGAGGACACAGGCTCCAGAGTCTGGATGAGCTGCAGCCTATGGAAAGAGGAGTTGGGGAGACCAAGAAGCAGGTAGTTTGCATAGTCAAGCCTGGATGTTATGAACACGTGTATAAAGGTCTCAGGGGCATGTGGTGTGAGACAATGGCAGAACTGGGCGATATTGCGGAGATGGGGGAAGGCAGTCATGGTACAGATGTACGTACGGATGGTACGGATAATAATCCCTCCAAAAAAAAAAAAACAATAATAAATTGGTCATTTTCAATCCACGACTGTTTGTGGGACACTGCTGTGCGCAATTGGCTGCCGCGTTCACCCACAAATATACAGTCAATTCACTTTACAGTATATTCTGTGAAGCACTTTGGGACATCTAGAAGACTTGAAAAGCGCTATATCAAATGCAAGGATTATTATTATTATTATTATTACGGATGTGGGGTAGAAAGGGTCAAACAAGATGCTAAGGTTCCGGACTGGCTCCGTGAGGTGGAGTGTGCATCCCTGGATGGTGATACTGTCAGTGCCTGAGGCTTGGAGGCGCTGACAGGAGCCAATCAGGAGGGCCTCAGTCTTGTTGACGTTCAACTGAAGGAAATTAGCTCTCAAACAAGACTTGATGTCTGAGAGATTCTGTCAGGAAAGCAGTGGTCCTGGAGTCAAGGGTGAAGGCAGAGAGATGGAGTTGGGTGTAATCCCCATATGTGCCGACCCCATGTCTACAACACTGGAATAGAGCACGTCCATGATCTATAGAAAGTAAGAGCAAGGTGATAAACATTTAGCCTGGACTGTGAGAGCCTGAATTGTCCTTTTTCTAAGCAATAAGTGTCATTGTTTTCTTTGTTGAAAGTCCCTGGCAGAAGGTTGCTTGACTACATTGTGTAACCTTAATTGGCACCAATAGTTCACACCCAATTCTTACTCGTGATCGCTTCCTCCTCCTCCCTCCACCCATCCCTTCCCATATTCTCTTTCAGCAAGATCTCTGAGTGAATGGAGCATTTCAGGTTTGGTCTTTCCTGAGTACAGGAACTGAGCTCTCTTTTGTTTGCACAGACATGTGTTAATTATTTCATGCCGCTGATATACAGGAAGCAGACTCAATCCTGCACCATGACATCTACTTTGAACTTCATTAAACTTAGCCCACCATGTTTTACTTTTTTATAAAAAACTTTTTCTTACAAAGTATGTAATGAAATTCTGCATTGTTTGTTGAATTATTGATTGTTTGCCTTGAAAAGCAAAATTAATTTGCTGTTAATTAATTCCTGTTGCCTTGTCAGAAGTATTTCTAAATGTTTTTGTTACTTTCTGTCAAACTTTAAGGATAGATCGTCGAGCTTTGGGATTAACCCCCTCTGTGATGGCAACATCAATAATGCAACTACCTCTGAGGAACATGACCTTGTATCAAAGCACAGTCAAATCAATAATGGAGTTCTTATTCCTGAGGTCTCCCATCAGATGTTAGTACAGTTTATATCCCTTTCAGCGTACACTTGTCAATAATTGTGGTTTTACTTTGAGTTGGATGCTTTTTTAAAAAAAAGTAGGTTTTTTAAAAGAATCGTACAACTCACTGTAAAACACACGAACAAGTGTACCGTTTAATGATATAAATTTTGCCAGTAACTTAATTTAGATCTGTTCTGCTATTTATAGTGATGCTTGTTTCTTGCTTGTTTCTTTCTTGTTACAGGAAAATATTAGTTTATCCTGTTCCCAGATGATTCTGTGGTAATTAGTTTATGTCAACTTTGTGAAATACACCTTCATTCACATGGACTTGAGTAAAAGACTTGAGCAAGACCATTCAACATAATCCTATCCCTTGTTTTTTTTCCATCAATCTTCTGAGACAATTTCTCTTTTTCCACCCTTGGCGTGTCTCACTCAACGATCCAACAAATGGAGGCGGGGGGAAGTAACTAAGTAATTACAAAAAAAAACCTCCCCCCTCTAATCTAGATGGGAATCCTCTAGAATATAAACTTGTCATTCTGAGCCCATTAAAGTTCCCCTTTTAGTGTATAGTTCTGCAGGTTACATCAAATGCAAGTGTTTTTTTATTTGATTATAAACGGGTACCCACCTGACTTTTTCAGGTGGATGTTAACAATGCCATGATGAAATTCAAGAAAAGGGAGATTCTCCCAGTCTTCTGATGAATAAATAATAATCCTTGCATTTGGTATAACACCTTATCACATTGTTGAGACATCTCAAAGCGCTTCACAGGATATACTGTAATCAACAAATTTCCGATTCAATTGATCATTCATGGCTATTTGTGGGACCTTATGTGCAAATAGTTTCAGCTTTTGCCTTTAGGAAATAGTCACTACACTTGATAGTAAATACATGTGAAGTGTTTTGAGATGTTTTGAATGCTAAAATGTGTTGATAAGATGATAAGAAAATGAACTGCTTTCCTCCTACTTAGAATGAACATGGCTATGGATATAATTTTAGATCATAAGAACTAACTTGAAGATTGAAAAAAATAATAAAATTGGTCACTTCAATCTGCCGTGTTTTGCCCACAAAATATACAGTTACTTCACTGTACAGTATATTCTGTGAAGCACTTTGTGATGTCTCGAAGTCTTGATAAGGCGCTATATCAAATGCAAGGATTATTATCATATATTATTTAGTCTCGCCCCCTCTTTGCCTGTCTTCAAATCATACCTGAAGGCTTCCCTCTTCTACTGTGCCTTCGGTCACCTCCCCTTCCTTTCCGTCTCGCTGATAAACTATACATACCATTGTTAAGCAAGATGCTTCTCACGTGAAGGGCACTTTATAAATGCAAATTGTTGTTCCTGTAATGCTGCTGTAGACTGCACTACAAAATGTATGTTTGCTGCCTTCTTTCTGATTCCTGTCTCAAAACATGTACTCCTTGCTTCTGATTTGACATTGCAAGAAAATAAATCCAGATCTTTCTGTAATCTAAGTAGTGAATGGTTTTTTATGGTCAATCCAATAATGAAGTAAAGTAATTTCATTTTGTTTTTGTAAGAAATACAGAATAAATGCTTCATTGTGTGGGAATGGGGCAGGCTGACTCTTTTGGCACCAACATTATGGGAACAAATTTAAACAGCAAGTTGTTTTAATTGTGTACCTCGTAATATATTGTAATCCTTGCACGCAGCAATATTGACCAGACATCTTAATTTATTATTGGAACTTAATATAACTTATTGTTTTAGAGGAAAACAACTCTCAGTGCATATCTTGAATCATATAGCTATAGTTATCTTGTAGTTATTGGCTGTAACTACAGTGCAAATATGCTCTAGGGAATGCTCCCTAGCAGGATAGAAATGAGACCTCAATAGAGGATATTTTATTTATCAATTTATTTAGTTACTTTACTCTGAAAAATAAAAGAAATATCACTCGATATTTAAATGACATGAATGACTAGCAAAATAAAATTGCACCAAGCAGAATACATAAACCAAAGTATAAGAATAAAGTATAAAAAATCGTTGTCTTTAATATAGTGCCATATCATGTCAAAATGTCTCAAAGTGCTTCAAAAGATTTTGTGTAAAGTGTATTTGTAGATGAACATGGCAGCCAATTTGCACACACTAATGTCTCAAAAACAAAAATGAAGTGAATGGCCGATTTACTTTTCTCAGGGGGATTATTGGCCAGAACATCGGAAGAAACTCCCGTCTCTCTTTGAAAAGTGCACATCAACCTGAACAGGCAGACTGGATCTTGGTTTAACATTGTCGACATCTCCTGTCGGCATTGGAGCGTTAGCCTAGATTACGAGCTCAAAATCATGTGGCTTGCCCATGCACTTTGACAGTGTGCTCACAAGCAAAATGGGAACATACTAATCTTAACTTGTGCACAAGTCACCTTTTATATTTCAGATTAATTCTGCTCAATTTATTTAACCTATATATATTATTTGGAGATGGGGGAATAGATCAATTGAGGAAATAGTGAATCTGGGTATCATTCTTGGTTCTGGAACATTGGTACTAATCGTAACTGTGGTGCAAACTAGGAGTGGTGTTTACATTGCCAGCTCACGACGTTCTGAAGTTGGAATGGCTGAGCTCCACACATGTACTCTTAAACACTTGAGCAACATTGCTCACTAGCCATCTGATATCAGTGAGATTGGAAACCTGATAATAATAATAATAATCCTTGCATTTGATATAGCGCTTTTCAGGTCTTCTAGACTTCTAGACTTCTTCACTGTCAAAGCGCTTCACAGAATATACTGTAAGGTGAATTTACTGTATATTAGTGAGCGAAACGCGGCAGATTGAAGTGACCAATTTTATTTATTTTTTTCTTGAAGGATTATTATCAGGCATGTGGAGTAA